ATGCCTTGCCTTCAGAAAACAATTTGATAAAAATGTTTATGTCTCATCTATGAAGTTCTGATATTTATCAAAAGACGAATAAAAAGCTAAATGAAATATTTAAATACAAATTTAATTAAAAGTGAGCATAAAAATATCAAAAAGGCAAAATTCACTTTTATTATATAGATTAAATACCAATTGAAAAGGAAACTTTAAATAGCAAAAGGCACAAAAAAAAGCAGAGAAAAAGAGGAGCAGAGAAGGAAGAAAAATGTTGAGCATTCCTAAAAGAAGGGACAACAATATGCTTAAAATGAAGTAAGCATTTTAGACATTAAACAGATAATGATAGGCAAATAGAAGAGAAATAAGTATGATATCAAAAGCGCATGAAAATGGGAGGAAATGAAAATGGAAAGCAAAGAAAAATCCAGAGAGGGATGTGAACAAAAAGAAGAAAATAACTTTGAGCAACAGCTTCGCACAATGGGCACTCCCATTGACAAGTGGCCTTTGGATGAAGTGAGGCTAGCCGAGGCCTGCCTGATGATGATGATGATAACGAAGAACTAAGCATGTCCTTCGACTACACACACACACACACAAGCTATCATGTAAGAAGGATGAAAAGTGGGCGTAGCTGGTCATTTCTCTCGTTTAACACGCTTACAACGATTTAGTGTGGAATTTTATTTTATTTTCTATTTCCTTTTTTTTTTCATTTTATTCATGTTCTTTTCTTTCGTTTTGCCTGGCTTTGCTTTATTTCTTTAACTTGTGCGCTTTTCCGCGCGCCGCTCTCACTTGACTGCATCCTTCTGCTTCCTGCTGAAGTGATAATCCTGACTTATGCTGCGCGTATAATTTGCTAAACTGTTGCCCAAACTCATCATCAGCATCTACCTATCGCCATCCCGCTCGCACAGCTTAAAGCTGTCCCAATGTTGTTAGCCATTTAATTCGGTTTATTTCGTTGCGCTTGTCAGCAGGCGCACGCCGAACTAAATTCATTAAGCTAGCAGAGAAATACAATATCTAAATATCGTATATATGTGTATGCATTTGCATGTAATACGATATAGACACGCATTTCGCTACTCGAATCGTCAGCCGTTCGAATTCCGCAAATAGTTTTGCATGCCGCAAGCAAATACAAAAAGCACGTGGCCCACAATTCGACCTCTTTCCAACTCCTACTCCAACTCTTCCCTCGCACTCTGTCTCTGTCTCACTCTCGGGCCAGGCTTATGCAATGCATTCAAGGCGAATCGTTGCTCACGTTTTTGTGAATTGATTTGCTGGCTTTTTGGCTGCAGGTTTCCAAGCACCCAAGCACTTGGCCCTCACCTGACACACCCACAGGGCCCTCTCTCTCTCTCTCTCTCTCTCTCTCCCATTCCCGCCCACAGTCGGCGTGTACTCCACATTTATAATGAATAATTTCCGCACGACTTGTATTCAATGGCCAAAATGGTTTGCCGGTTCAACGTTTCCCTAATGGCCATTATTATTATTAGGATTATTATGATCACGATTACAACACTGGCTGCGGCGGCGGCGCGCCTTTCAGACTGAACAGCGAGTCGACCCATTATACATATGTATGTATATATATCTAGCTCCGTCCACCCGCTGCTGTTGCGCGAGCTTTTCAATAGTTTTCCATTTCTTTTGGCTTTACTTGAATAATTCGATGTGCACCTAAAATTTGCCTAACGTTCGATGATTTATTGCGTTTTTAATTGGCAGACGAAGGGCGCAGGATAGCGAGCTTTGGGCTAGTAGGTTAATTAATTAGTGTAACAAGCGAGACACAGATATTTGGTTAGTTATTTTAGCTGCGTTGCTTTCAAAACAAGGTCGAAACTTAAATTAAGGAAAGGTCGTAGAATAAAGAAGGTGAATATGAATATATGGAAAGCTGTCTGGGTATGAGAGTAAGAATCTTTTTAGTTCATTAAGCAAGAGCTTAGACAATTGAAAAGTCGTATAAATAAAGGAAAATAATTTAGAAAGTGGAGCGGTTTCTTTTAGTTGCTTAAGCAAAAGCCTAAGAAAAGGCGAAGCAGATGTATTTGGTACCTATTTATAAAGTTGACAAAAATGCCAAATGAAAAGCTGTTATAC